CCCCCCCCCCCCGAAAAATCTGAAGTCCCTTATCCCCGGAGAGAGAAATTGTTGAAATAATCACTGCGTCCAACATTAGGAAAATCATGGTTAATGTTTCCAATGACGATTCACGCATGGAACTGGTGCAGACGGAATCAATCTATTTACGGAAGAAAATCGAAAGTGTGTCAACAAATGATTCTAGTCCACGGAAATACATTGTTCTAAGTCTTCATTTATTTTTATGTTGTTCTTGTTGTTTTTTTTTTTTTTTTTTTTTTTTTTTTTTGTTTTTTTTGGTTTTTTTTTTTTTTTTTTTTTTTTTTTTTTTTTTTTTTTTTTTTTTTTGTAAGAGGAAAATATTTGTTTAATATAAGTGATATGTGATTAAATGAAATGCTGTCAAGGAATATGTCACTAAACAATTTAAATCAATAAAAAATGTGCCAAAGATTTGAGTTAAGGTATATTTATTTGTTCGCGAGCACATTTTTGTGTGAGAATATTTGACTGCTTATACCTCTTGTTCACGGATTGTATCAGAGCTGACATTGAGCCGACATCCTAATTCTTCAGGGATCCTTTCAATGTTTCAACAGAGAAGTAGTAGTTGTGAGATGTATGGAGAAGTAATATTGAGAGAAGTTTGGTGAAGTAATAGTGGGAGATGTTTGGTAAAGTAATAGTGGGAGATGTTTGGTGAAGTAATAGTGGGAGATATATGTGATAGTTTGGGGGGGGGGGTCTTCTATTTGATGACTTCTATTTGATGACTCCTATTTGATGACTTCTATTTGATGACTACTATTTGAAGACTTCTATTTGATGACTTCTATTTGAAGACTTCTATTTGATGACTTCTATTTGATGACTTCTATTTGATGACTTCTATTTCAACGCGACAGATGAACCTACACAAAAACGCACGTCTCGTCATAATATGTGTTGGATGCGTAGGATCTTTGTTTAAAGAGTATCTAGGATGCTGTTTGAAACAGACCTCCGACGGAAACCCAAATTTAGTTCATAAGTTGATGTCACACATTTTTATTTCACGCCTTTTTTCAAAGATGTTTGGATATTTTCCAAATATTTATGTATTTATTTTTTTGGTGGGGTTGGTTGGGGGGGTGGGGGGTTTACAAAATGTGTTTCAAAGAAGATTGTCTAGTTGTCGAAATACAAATGCGTTTCAGAAGCAATAGTCTAATCCAACAATAAAATTACTAAGATAACAGCTGCTTGGTCGGTGCCAAGTGATAACTCTTATATGGAATCCTGGTTTCCTCGTCCTGTTGCCAGTCACAAGCAAGTCTTGTGATAATTCGATGCCTGATGAAAATAGTGGACGTGTGATACTGGTGTCTTATCAAACGAGTGGCGGTGTGATACTGGTGTCTTATCAAACTAGTGGCGGTGTGTTGATGATGTTTAAGGCGTGTCTTCATATCAATTCTCAAATATTTGAACTTTCCATATTTTTGTTACATCTATTTTATTCTTGTATAGTATTTCGTTGAAAATGATACATTAAAAAAGCAAAAAAATAAATAATTAATTAATTAGTTAAAAGTCAATTTTCGTAAACTAAAGGATTGATCGTTTGTAATTTTTAATACGTTCAGACTATAGAGAAGAAGAGTTTTCTTCGTTTAAGTTTGTTAATTAAAATCAGCAACTTTATCGTTTTGATCAACAAAGAACNTTAAATCTGGCTGTCGAAAGGTTGGTACAGCTGTACTTAAATCGGGCTGTCGAAATGTTGGTACAGCTGTCCTTAAATCGGGCTGTCGAAATGTTGGTACATCTGTCCTTATATCGGGCTGTCGAAATGTTGGTACAGCTGTCCTTAAATCGGGCTGTCGAAATGTTGGTACAGCTGTCCTTAAATCGGGCTGTCGAAATGTTGGTACAGCTATCCTTAAATCGGGCTGTCGAAATGTTGGTACAGCTTGCCTTAAATCGGGCTGTCGAAATGTTGGTACAGCTGTCCTTAAATCGGGCTGTCGAAATGTTGGTACAGCTGTCCTTAAATCGGGCTGTCGAAATGTTGGTACAGCTGTTCTAAAATAGACTGTCGAAATGTTGGTACAGCTGTTCTTTAATCGGGTGGTAAAAATGTTGGTACAGCTGTCCTTAAATCGGGCTGTCGAAATGTTGGTACAGCTGTTCTAAAATAGACTGTCAAAATGTTGGTACAGCTGTCCTTAAATCGGGCTGTCGAAATGTTGGTACAGCTGTTCTAAAATAGACTGTCGAAATGTTGGTACAGCTGTCCTTTAATCGGGTGGTAAAAATGTTTGTACAGCTGTCCTTCAATCGGGCTGTCAAATTGTTGCTACAGCTGTCCTGAAAAACGATGTAGTTCAGCACATCGGCGTAGTCCTGTCGACCAACTCCAAACACGATTTTTGTTTTTTTAAAAAGCCGATGTTGCGAAAAATATTTCAAATCGCCAAAACCAGATTCTCTTTTTAATCAGGAATATCATATTTTTGTATATAGTTGCATTATATCGTAAAGAAATTACATACAAGAAATATGTAGACCTTTATTGTTATTTTTATTTTTCTAAAGTTGGGTTTTTAAAATGGTTATGCCCTTAACTTTTTACTCTGATATCTGCCCTGGAATTCGTCCGTCCTTATTACCCTATAAAATAAAATATTTAATTGTTAAAAAAAATAAAAAATCAGGCACTCCAATTTAATGAAACTAATCTGATATCAGCACACAGGATCTAGGGCGTGTATCTTTTTGTTTGTTCCATAAATTGCGACAGCTCTATAAAAATATATCTTTTGGGATATTTTGTGCTTTGAATTTGCGTGAAATGCACGAAGTCAACAAACAAACAAACAAATGACAAACATTTATCAACACCAAACACAGAATGAGGTCAGTCCATTTTGCGCATCAAGTCAATCTTTTTTCTTGAAAGTGACTACGTAAAAATTCCTCAGTTTCTTTTGATCACCTGCCAATAATCACATCCATCTGTGGCAACGGTTTGGCCGAACTCAAAGATGCGTTCCTCCGAGGTTACCTCACACTCACTCTGCCGCTTCCGGAAGTTGATACCCGCGCAGAGCGGTGACTGCGTGCACAGCGTGGAGCATTCGCTGAGGGAGATTTCTTCGGGAAAAGTCCACCCGTGTGCGCCCGTGTAGCAAGTGCCCTCGTGTTGCAGCAGAAGACAGCTCCTGGAGTCTGTGAACCAATGAGTCAAATTGTTTGGGATTTGTTGTTTTAAATTTTTTTTATTTTTACTTTATTTTAAAAAAATATATATATATTTAAAGTTTTGTTTTTTTCGAAAAGGAAAACTAATGATATGCTTTACATAGCTAAACAGCATACGAACAAGATGATTAAAGTTTAGAGCAGTACTGTATGGAATAAGACGAAAATGCATTTACAATGTGCTTTTTTTACAGCACGAAATCTATTTTTTTTTGCACCCCCCACCCTCACCTCCAAACTGATCTTTCAGCTCCACAATTTGAATAATAATGCATGTCACATTGCGTTGATACACGTTTACTTGTTTATAAAAAAAAGGAGAAATTCGGAAAC